CCTATGTTCTTGCCTGTCGTGAACCATCGCGAGACAGCTTCGATGCAATTTGTCGAAAGCGTTACATGCGTTACATATATACATGTCAGTGTATATGATTATTCGATCTCGATTTCGATACACCATGTGTGACTTTGCTGTGCCTTTATTGGTCGCTGATCTCGGACGCGTCTGCACACGCCCACGCCCACGCCCACGCCCACTTGTATTTTTGTTTTTAATAAACGTTCGACGCACGAACGGCGGCCGCTTACAGCTCCCTTGGGCCTTTTACAACGCTTGGTCGCCGGGAACGTATTGCCCACAAACAGCGGCTTGTGGGCCTCGAACGGGTTGCCTGCTCTACAAAGGGAACAGTACGGTCGCCGTCGACGGAACGGCGAAATGGGAAGGCGACCGAAGGATGAAGGCTCTTATTGGCAACCATAGCTTATGACCCTCAAGATTTGTGCTAGCCGGCCTGCTCTCCATGGCAGAATCTACCACCACGGGCTACGTGGTCATCTATCTGCCAGACCGCCTCCCATTCTCAGGTTTCTGTCAAGAGCTGTTGAGGGCCGTTTGTTGGCGTTTGCAGGAAAAGAAGACACATCCAGTTCTGGTTCGGGAGCTGAGGGTGGCAGCGGTGAGCGTGGAATCAAGGTCGGTTTAGCACTTGGCGAAACCTGTCCCTCAAAACGCTGGGGGCGGCAGCGTCATCATTGTGATACAGCCAGGCTGCAACAATGACGAAGATCATCGACAAGATCAAGCAGCAGGATGGCAAGGTCGCCTTCTCCTTTGAGTTCTTCCCCCCCCGCACGGAGGAGGGAGTGGAGAATCTTTACGAGCGCATGGACCGAATGGCTGCGCACCAGCCCCTGTTTTGTGACATCACCTGGGGAGCAGGCGGCACAACTGCAGATCTGACGCTGGACATTGCAACCAAGATGCAAAACATGGTGAGATCAGGATTCTTGCTATCCGAAATTGATCAGCAAGGGTTAACGATGGTCTGATGCAGTCAGAAAGGGTTCGATTGCAGGAGTGAGTGCAGGCAAATGCCAAGTCAACTTCTTGAAGAGTTGAAGCGATTGAGGATGACTGTGTGCCCCACATTGGGTTAGTGATGAGATGCACAACTCAAATCAAGTTGCGGGGATTGCTTTGCAGTGAGAAACCGCCCTTTTGGTCAGCATTGTGGCTTTATATAGCTGATTGAGGTGGAAGATGCTTTTGAGGCTTTGCTTACTTTATGGTGTGCCTTGGTCCTCAGGCTTTAGTAGAATGCATTATGCATGAGAGACCCTGCAAAAGTGTGGTCGTTTGTCGTGACATCAACAAATTGCCAAATATCTTGAAGTGCTGCTTCAGCTGAAGCTAAATATTAGAGAACCAATGCTCGTACTCACATCTGAAGTCATGATGGAGTCAGGGACTGGCTTTGGTGATTCCTGACAGCTACAATTTGTGTGAGTTCGTAGTGGTGACGAAATTCAAAGATCAGATGGGAGAATCACACTGCTACTGCTACGATCTGACCCTTGCAAATGAGATTGGTTTTCAATTCGAGATCTAACTCTTGAAGAGCGGAGGCGAACAGGATACTCAAATGTACAGATTTCTTGTCGGCAAAGTCGCAAGATTGCGGTGGGTCAGCACCTTCTTCATCGACATTGCAGGGGGTTGCACCACCTTCCAATCAGCGGAAACTTTTCAGTTGCTTCAAGAAAGTGAGATTCCCGTTTTTCTGCGCACAGATCTGTGTGAACACCATGATGCACTTGACGTGCACCAACATGCCTGTGGAGAAGATTGACGAGGCGCTTGAGAAGGTGAAGGCCGCAGGGATTCAGAACATCCTGGCGCTGCGTGGGGACCCGCCAAAGGGTCAGGACAAGTTTGTTGCAGTGGAAGGAGGCTTTGCCAGCGCGTTGGACCTGGTAAGGCACCGGAATTGGTTATGCTTCCGAAGCATTGAAATTTGGGCAGAAAGATTATGATCCTTGACATCTTCCATCATTCCCTGGATGCGTCGGTCTGTATTTTGAGCAATAGAAAGAATGGGATCCACGTTTATGTTAAGGAGTTCTCAGCCAATGCTATCAAGGGTTTTTCAGATGCTTTTGCAGAGTGGACATGACAAAAAAAAAACAGGTTCTTTGACTGCGAGACGATCTTTGCCAAATGGTAACCAGATTCTTCCAGATTCTTCCAGATTCTGTACGAAGTTTGGAGAGCCACTCTCAGCCACAAAATTACCTTTTGTGCTACTGTGGCCAACTTGAGCTGATGTGCACGATGCCAATTGTTGTGCTTGCCTGGTGCTGAAAGCTCAGATGAGCGTTCCAAAACAGAGGATGCGGCCGCCCTTTACAGGTGAAATACATCAGGCTGCACTATGGCGACTACTTTGGGATCACTGTGGCTGGTTATCCTGGTGAGCATCGCTTCCAGTCTTTTCCAGTGCTTCACCCCCAGGCATCATTGAAATGATGATTAGTTAACACCTCAAGTTCTGCCACTGCTAGTGATGGACCTTGTTTGGATTACCTGGGCGGTTTCGAGACCAACATGGGAGGTGTTTTCTTGTGATGAAAACAAGACGTGTCTGGGCAGCAGCATGTCCAAGAGAAGCCCTACCAATGGTTGCGCATCATTCTTGCCCTGTGGGAGGGGGTCCAAGTGGGTTAGGAAGAAAAGCAAGAAACTGGATCAATAATTCATGGGTAGTGAATTAAGTTGCAATCTGTCTTGGACTCAAGGATGCGACAATGCCCAGATGTTGCAGAAAGGAAACTGAATCAGGCAGCCTTTTGCATCTTCATTTGCCTTGCTAACATGTGCAACTCCAAGTGCAGAGTGCCACCCAGACTACATTGAAGGGCCTGGGGGCGCAAGTGAGCAAGCGTACAAGGAGAACCTTGCCTACCTCAAATCAAAGGTGGGTTGGGACACCTTTGTGTCTTAGGACGAGATCCCACTTGCCTTTCTAGGACTCCCACAGTTCCATTTGCAAAGGACTCTGTTTGTGTGTCTGAGCATTCGAGTTTGCCATCGAAGATAAAAGAAGAAAAGCCTTTGCCTCTGACAAGTCTGCAAGAATTGAAGATCTTGCTCGTCAATGACGTCCCTGAACCCCAAAATTGACAAGTCCTTCCTCCCAATAAGCTTTGCGGATTGATGACAATCATAAGTCCATGCTTTATCTGCAAAACCTCTTCAAAAGCCGGTTCGCTTCATATTCTGCAGATGGACGCCGGAGGAGAGGTTATCGTGACGCAGCTTTTCTACGACACTGACGTCTTCCTCAAGTTCGTCAAGGACTGCCGGGAGTACGGCATCGACGCGCCCATTGTCCCGGGTATCATGCCCATCAACAACTACAGCGGCTTCAAGCGGATGACCGCGTTTTGCAAGACCAAGGTGCGTCGTCCTTTTTTATGAGAAGGATTCTCGCAACATACTTGAGGTAACATCCGATGGCAAGACCTCTGGAAGGTGCTCAAGCAAAGCCCCTCTGGGACAGTCTTTGTATGTAGAACAGCAAGAAACCTGCACGTTCTTCACAAGGTTTGTCAAAGAATCCTTTCGCCTTTCCACATTCGCCACGGTCGCGAGTTGTTAATTTACAATGAACTTGCCCATGCCAGCGTGGCAGGTCAAGCTTCAGTTACCGACTATGTGTTGACCAGTTTTTGAGCGGATTCACCGGGGCCTTGCTGTGCTAATTTCGATTCAAAAAACGGGATCATTTTCTGGTGAACACAGACCTTAGATATGGAAGGGTTTTGAAAGTGCAGGTGCCGCAGCACATCCTGGACGCGCTTGAGCCGATCAAGGACAACGACGAGGCGGTGAAGGCATACGGGATCCACCTGGGGACGGAGATGTGCAAGACGCTCATCGCGGGGGGCACCAAGCACCTGCATCTGTACACCCTCAACCTGGAGAAGACGGTCATGGCCATTCTGACGGTGCGTGCGGCGTATTCTCCAGTCGTGATTGCCAAGGCGCTTCACGCTTTTCTTTATTCAGTTGCTACGTCTATCTGCTCGGAGCCGGGAAACGTGGGAATCCTTCGGCCGGAATGAGAATCAGAGGCACCTGGCTCTTTTATGCTTCGAAGCAGGTTGCATCAGCATGTGCATCAAGGTGAGTGTCCGCTTGATATACACAACGCTTGCGGTGAGCGGTCGAAGTTGCTGACGAATCTTTTCAGCTTGCGGCGAAGCGGCCAAATGGTAGACTTCTATCTTTCCATGTCGAGTAAGATGATTTTTTTCCTTGCAGAACTTGGGCCTGATCGATGAGAGCAAGGTGCAGAGGACTCTGCCGTGGCGGCCTCCGACGAACATCAAGAGGAGAGGCGAGGAGGTCCGGCCCATCTTCTGGTGAGGAATGCTTCCGTCGTCATCAACTCAAGTGATTGTGGGCAAGCAGATGGGTTTGTTGTTGTGTCTATAACAGAAACCCATTGATCATGTCTAGGCGGGCTTCTTCTAAGGGGCAAGGGGTGTTGCATGCGCACAAGCACATTGTTTTCAATGTTAGCTGCCGCAAAGTGTTGGGACCGCTCAAGCATGGCACAGTCACTGAGCGACAACAGTATGAGAGACTTAGGATGGCGCCCCTGCCAGATCTACACTGAGGTGGAAAGGAATCGTGTCGAGATGCCTATCAACTTTGCTTCAATACTATTTATGCTAGATAAGGAACCAAGACTTGTTCCAGCATCTCGGCAGCCCTACAGTACCCATGAAGAGCACTGTCACCTTACGTTTATGCTCCCTCAAATCCGGCAGGCCATATGCTTATCAAGCCAATATCTTATAAATATACTGTGGGACTTGTGCAGGGCGAACCGGCCCCGGTCGTACCTGTCCCGCTCGAGCAACTGGGACGAGTTCCCCAAGGGCCGCTGGGGCGACTCGAGGAGCCCCGCGTATGGCACCCTCAACGATTACCAGGTAAGCAAAGCCGATGAGCTGGCGTCGCACCAGCTAATACGGTTTTTCTGTTGCTGGGTATGTATGTACCACCCTTACGTGAAGATGTGGAGGTCTGCTGCAATACCTGGGGGCCGACTTGCATCCCATTCCGCATTTTTTTGTGCTTGGGAGCCCCCCCAGAAAGTTCGGGCGGCCAATCGGATCTTGCAGCGTAAAGCACTCGCTGTGCATGCTAGCAGATCTGGCCGTCCCCAAAACGGTGTCGATCCTTAGATTTTAAGCCGTTCTGTGATCAGCATGAAGTCGGGGTCAAGCGGGCAGAATGGATCGACTTTGCAGTGTGGTTTCAGGGCAATTTCTGAGCCCCATCTTTGCCGCTGCAGTTCCTTAGAAAGAAGTCGAAGGACCTCAAGTTGCGCGAGGAGTGGGGGATCGACCTCAAGAGCTCCGAGGACGTCTTCAAGGTGAGCTTCCCCCACCAGGCGGCGAACCGAGAACAATCAAATTACTTTGTGAAAGGATCAACTTTTTAACGTTCGGGCAAAGATCCATCGAACAGCGCCTCCTGGTTTGTGGTTTGGCAGCCGGGCCATCGCCACCCAGTCTAAGTGCTATCTCCTGCGACTTTTTGCGAGCTGGTCCGGTACCTATCCAAATCCCCTCACCTTTGTCAGATTAGCAGACTGTGTATAAGTCGCCAAGTCTGATTGGAGTTACCCACCCCGTCGTGTGGCTTTTGTTCTTTACACTCACCGCAGAGGGGATCCGCCTTCGGAGGTGTGGTTGGTACCTTTGTTCGCCGGCGGCAGGACTTTCTGTCGACGATCACAATACATTTTCTGCCGCAATCTCGTGTCTTATGGATTTGAGGTTTGCAGTTGCAAACCAGTGAACGTAAATCGACGTGACCCGTCCTTCTAATGATCCTGCTTGCAGCTGTTTGCACGGTACTGCAAGGGCGAGCTGTCCGCGTTCCCGTGGTCGGAGCTGGAGACGCTGCAGCCCGAGTCGCAGCTCATCACCGACAGGCTGACGTCACTCAATGAGCGGGGCTTCCTGACCATCAACAGCCAGCCGGCCGTCAACGCGGAGCCGTCGGACACTCCGGGGATTGGTGAGTTTTGGATAGGTCGAGAAGGCGGCCAAAACCGTCCGACTGTCTGACATTGCTGACATGCGCGTCGTGCATGTCTTTGGTTTTCTGCTTTCTTGAACCCAGCCAACTGCCGTTGATCCATAGCGAGCCGGCTGTAAACGACGATCTCTTCGACGCCGCTTAGTCGTGTTAATGTTGAGTCGTGGAAGGGGAGACCTTCGTCGACGTAGTACTGTTCCTCGACAGTTTTATGTTCTGCTTGGACGCATAGCTGATTTGAGCAAAAAAGAAAATTCTGTGGTATGTGTTGCGTGTATGGCAAAAGTGGCAAGTGCTTTGGAGGTGGGTCCGTGGGACTTCGGGTGAATGGCCTGTATTCGCATTACCCCCCTTGGACATCGTCCATGTTTTATGTCATTTGCCAGTTCCCAGTCCGGTTTAACAAATTCGCTTTCCAATCGTGCGCGCAGGGTGGGGCCGCCCCGGTGGCTACATCTACCAGAAGGCGTACGTCGAGTTCTTCACGTCCCCCGAGCGCCTGCAGGCGATCATCTCCAAGATGCCCGGCTTCCCCAGCCTGACCTACATCGCGGTCAACGTCAAGGGCGAGACGTACTCCAACATTGGTGAGTCTCTTTCTATTTATGGGAGCCCTTAGATCCGTTGTGCTCGGGGGAATGAACAGGTCTCTCGAAACAAAATGGTCGGGGCGCTTCTTACAGAAGAAGCTTTTCCCTCACCAGGTTCGTCTAAGTAGGCAGTAGATGCTGGCAGTACGAACCCGCTCTGGTGAAAGCCAGGCTGGGATCAGCGGATTGGATACAAGTGCGACTTGATTAACATGAACTACAGAGACAACACAACTGTAGATGGAGCTGAAGATGTCCTTGAGCTAACGCTCAGATCGATCATGATGGCAGGCGTTACGGACGTGAACGCCGTCACGTGGGGCGTGTTCCCGGCCAAGGAGGTGATCCAGCCGACGGTGGTTGACCCCCAGAGCTTCATGGTCTGGAAGGACGAGGCGTTTGACATTTGGACGTCCGAGTGGGCCAGCATCTACCCGGACGACAGCCCGGCCAAGAAGGTGCTCCAGGAGGTGAGGGAGTGCTCTGGATTCTGGAGTGCATGGGGGGCCTTGTTGAGCGCACTCATTTCGTGCCTCTCTGCTTCCGAATGGACGTCAGAAGTCGAGCAGTACGAGCTTTTGAAATCTCGTGGACCTTTTGAACAACCGACTTCGGATGAAGAATTCCTTGTGGATGGAGGAGAGACCCTGTGGTCGTTCGAGTGGACCGATCTTCCTCAAAGTCCCCACGTTTCCAAGGATTCTTTCCTTCAGAATGTCCCGAAGTATGCCCGTTTGCAATTCCACCGCGCTGTTGTCTTCGGTGCAGTATCTGGAAAAGCTGACTGTTGTTCTTGTCGTGCAGACCCACGACGGGTACTTCTTGGTCAGCATTGTGGACAACGACTACATTCGTGGGGACCTTTTCGCCATTTTTGAGGGTTTGTGAAGAGGGCTAACACCAAGCATCGTGGGCTTCAAGCTGCCCGTGTTGGGAGCGCACATTGGGGAAAGGGTTTCCTTTAAAATTTGAAGTTCCTTTGGCAAGATACGGTGCAATAAGTATTGGGGTGGTCGATCCACAGTTTTCTGAGAAGAAGCGGGAGCACTTGAGATGCGAAGCAGCAAAGTAGTAGTCGGTCACTTTAATCAAGTAGGATTATGGACAATCTCCTATCATGTGTTATACCGTCCGAAAGGACTCTTTAACCGACAATAAGACAAGTTAATTGCTCGCTGAGTGTATTCATAGTAGAGGCAAGGACACATGTGCGACTGACACGTTTGACACGTTGAATCCTGAAGATGGTATACTATACGCTGCAGGTATTGTGAGGTTGTGCAAACCCGATGTGTGTGTTGATGGATATTTCTTCGGATAAGGAACCTGATCGACATATGGCATAGTTGAGCTTTTTGAAATATTTTGCAGTCGATGACAACGACAGTACATAGGAGTCACAAAGAAAGCCAATCGTGTGTACAATTGCTCACGAACCAAAGTTGCACGTGGTGAATTCGTAGATGGTATAATATTCACTTAAGCACCCCTTTGACGTCCGTGTGCAGTACGGTACATTCAGCTAGCGGTCGGACACGACCACGTGACTAGCTATGCATGGCGCGGCTTGCACCAGCATGATGCGATGCATGGTGGCCCTGGCCATCGCGTCACTGCCAGCTGCAATGCATCGGATATGCATCATGAGACTTCAACTTCAGCACAGCTCGGACTCCGGGCTTTCTTTCAACCTGCCAGATTCGCGCCAGGCTCCGGCCGTTGCTCCCATTGACAAATTCAAGTTGGTCTGGACTCGATCACGTGACAGTCTCGGATCACATTCGATCAGGCCAGTCGATTCACAACCTTTGTGAGTTGTTGATGCTAGTTCAGATGATGATCACTGAAGATGCATCACGGAATTGGCCGCTAAGAATTGCATGACATCTCACGAAGGTGAATGAAAGTTGGCACGATCAAAAAGATGAATACATGTAAGAACAGCCCCAGAGCTTGCTAGGATATTCCTATCCAGAAATTTTCTGAGTTATAGTGTCTACCCACACACACACAAGTCAACTTCGACCGTCAGTGCTCAGCTTACTATACTGACACGCTGAAATGAACCTCCCTGTAGCTATATCAGATATGGCGGGGTCTTGAAAGGCTTTGCTTATAGTGGCATCTGCTCGCTATTGATTCCAACTGGGAAAAGTCCTTCTATATAGGCCAAGATAACTTCAAGTATCCTTGAATGAGTCTATGTCACCTTGACCGTCTGAAAGTCAGTTTTCCTTGAGGGGACTCTTCTTCTGGCCCGTATATGCAGAGAGGATATAGGCAACTTGGAAGAGGAAACCAAAGACAAAGCTTAGAGCTGTTGGCAAGTGCCACCATTGCTCTCCTGTAACTTCCACGACGATGGTAAACACAATCCCCGCCACGTATGCAAGGATAATCAGGATGGTCCAAAGCCATTTGCTTGGAGAGGCCAGGTTGGAGTTTGCCTTGAGGAGGAAGGAGGCGGTTGTAAGCCCCAGCATGATGAACAGGAAGATTTGGACGGCTAGGAATCCACAGAATCCGCCGTCGCCTGCATTGGCCGTGAGGTTCCAGGAGGAGAGGGTGAAGTTGAGGAGCTTAGCCGCACAAAAGGCATTAGAGTCAGGGACTGCGTTTGCTAGGGCAGTTCCCCTGATCATTGCAGCTGTGCCTGCAGCGCTGAAGAGGAGGTCCCAAAGCACTTGCGAGTCATAGCCCCCCACGCCCCAAGCCAGCAGGGCCTGGCCCCACACAAGGCCGCTATAGAAGACCACGCTATAGTAGGACGGAGCCAGACCATAATACACCCACTGCTGCTGAATGTGAAGCCCAATCTCGCCAAAGGAAGAGACGCTGAACACCGCCATAGCAGCAAAGATGATGCTGGGAGCCTTCACACCCCCTTCAACTTTGTCCTGAAGCAAGGCCTTGTAAAGGATCGGGACACAGACAATCGGTGCAACCAGTAGGATAACGTGCAGCAAGACAAGGCCCGCAGCAATCCCAAGCTGCTGCACATTTGGTGGCTGCTCGCTGCCTGTCTCATTGCAAATCACCGCACCCCGACGCACCAATGCTACGGTGTACGCTTCCACAAAGGGCGTCCGCATTTTGGTGTCCAGGCAGTCCCACGCAATGCCCTGCCCCGGGTAGCGCTTCGTCATTGCAGGAGCAACGTTCTTCGCAATGCCACTCTCAGCAAGGGCCAAAGTAGCTGAGCCTGAGGCGACGAGGACTCCTATTGCAAAGCTGCACAGAAAAAGTGGAGCCACCATGGTCGCAGCTCAGCTCTGTTGCTTCTCTGCGGCCTGTTTGCTTCCAGTTCAATCCGAAATAGTAGTGGGATTTTCAGAGCTAGGAGGCTCAGCACTCGGATGAGAAGAGGAAAAGAGCAATGCAGCTAGGTAGCCGCAAGCGGTGCTGCCGCTATAGGGTGCTGGTGCCGTGCATAATGCAGCTCCGCCAAAGTAAGTACGCTGCCTAGCTGCGCCAGTGCTGCAAAACCCGGACTGTGGACAGAGATGGACAGCTAGAGGCTGCTAGACTCGTTGCATCATTGCCTAGGTATTACCGTTGAGTCCGAACCGTACGATTGAGCTGACCAGCAATCCAAGCAACCGAGCGGAACGTGACTTTGGTGGGTTAGGTCGGGACTCGGGGGGTTAGGGTGGGTGGGGGTGGGCCCCGGTGAGCTACCTACCTAGTCCTGGCGGATCACCACTGATACTAATAGGGTTTGGGTTAGAGTCTCGTCAGTGTAGCGGCTTCTCGAAGTTCCGTGCGGCGTACAGGCGGAATGTGGTAACGCTACATGGAACGGAATGACATAGGTTGAAATGGCATGCCTGCCATATCTGATCGGACGGCCACCAGTTTCAAGTAAAAAATCTGACGGGTGACGACCTCCGATAAGTCGGAGGTGGGCCCGGCCGATCGGTGTCCTTGACCTCACGGCTCGACCGTGCGATGGATCAATTCACCCGTCCGATGAGTGCCATCTGGATCCGATGGCCGCTCGCGCCCAAATCTCTCTGCATGTCCGCCAAATGGCTCTGCATGCAGGTGGTCCTTCTGCCGCTTGCATGGCGGCCGTTGGGGGGCGAGACGTCGCCCCTCATCCGCCATGTCATGGCGCCCCTCATCCTCCCACGGCTGAGGTGGCAGGGCCGCCGGAAATGCACCAACCGTTGGTGACCACCTTCTCTGTCTCTGTTCCTCTGCTGCTTTGAACACTGACCTTCTCTGCAATTGAGCTACCAAACACCTCACAAGTTGCTTCCTTCCACCTTCGCCAGCTTGCATTCGCTTCTCCGCATCTTCGAACGCTCTCGAACCGCCATCAGCAAGCATGTCGTCCTCCGCAATGATGACCACCGTGGCGTCGCCTGTGGCTGCTGTCAGCCAGACCAAGGGCCTGTCTTCCCTGCAGAAGACTGTGCAGATTGGCAGGCCCGCAGCATTCCCTCTTAGGAAGGTCGTCAGCAGGGCCCCAGTGGCCAAGAGCACAGTCAGGGCTTCAGCAGAGGAGGTGAGTACAGTGATCATGAAGTCACTTGAGCTGAGGCAATTGCTTTGCTACCCCAGCAGTGGCCCACATTTGGGGGTCAGATCCGTTTCTGAACTCCTGGGAGCTACTCCATTCATAGCGCAGGAAACGTTTGGCTCCAACAGCCGTCTCTCCGTGCCTGCAAGGGCTATCCCAGCCTATTTGAGGAGTGGCGTCTTCGCTCTCGTATGAAGTCCAGGTCTGAGTAGGACAACTAGTGGTTTGCGTCTGGCAGCATTGGGGTCTGGAACTGATTACAGCATTGGGGTCGATACAGATTCATGAGGCCTTAACAACAGCCACTGATTCCACAGAGGTAGTTACGAGAGGTGGGGGCAATTATGGATGGTGGCATTCTCACTTCTGTGCTTCTGGACAGAGTGACTTGGTATATCAAAAGCCTGGTACAATACTCTGGTTGACTCAGACGTCTTCTTTAATCTGGCAGCGGCGTCAGGAGGGGCAGCATCTGTGGCTTGTTTTACCAGACGTGGCAAGTACTTAAAATAAGGCCCCCGCAAGTGGATAAGTTGTGCTGTCAACACTCTGAATGAGATCAAGCCTTCCATTCGAAAATTTCAACACTATTGCTCAAATTTGATCGGTTCATTCGCAGGCTGCCCCCTCAAAGAAGTTCGAGAAGGCCCTGGTGGCTGGTGTTCTGACTGCCCTGAGCCTGGGATGTGTTTCTGACGCCAAGGCTTTTGATATTGGCAGCGTCCAGAACAGGCCGGTGAGTAGTGTCCTACGTTCTTTCTTCTTTGACGCAGCTGTTTGCAGTCGTCTTCACTTGCCTGTTGTCCTATTTTGATAGCTTTTTGAGACATACGACATAGATTAATCAGTGAAAAACTCACTCCACAATTAGGCTCATACTTCATATAGACATGAAAGAACTTTCGAGGAGAACCTGCATTCGTCAAACGAGCTTATGAGCAAGCGGTGGAACTGCTACAGGGACCGATGAAATGCACTGAGAAAGATACGCACAGACGACCAGAGTTTTAAAGTAGACAACTGGAGTCATGACCCTGCTTCTAATCCGGGCCTCTTGCTGCAATGCGACGTGCCACTCCTTGCGAGAGCAACAAGCATCTTGCAATAAAAGCTGACAGTTCTTCCGCTGCGCTTGGCAGTCCGCCGAGAAGATCCTCCAGAAGGCGAAAGCTGACGGTGATGCCAACTTCGCTGAGGCGCAGCGGTCAGGAAAGGAGACGACCGGCTCTCAGGAGACCCCCAGCAAGGGTGCCTACCCCTTCGGCCGCCAGGTGAGAACGTGCTCGTATGCTGTCAGTGTCCATTCCAACAGATGGTTGTAGAGGCACTTGATACGGGCGCCTCAGCGTATTCAATTAAGTATGTTGATCAAACCCTCCACACCATAAGCCAACAGAATTGTTGAACGGACTGCAGAGTTGAAGTATTGAACTTCTTTTTCTGTGCCTACATATGTACATCTTGAGACTCTCTCGTCGGCCGAGCAACTGGAGGTTCTCTTCGCCTTAGCCATTCTAGACCATCGATCAGGATTCCTAGTTTTCGTAGCGAATGTATCTCATTCTTCGGTTGATGCAGGAGTCTGCCAGCCGCGGGTTCAATACCACGATGGAGGAGGAGGGCGTGTCTGGCAGCGTTGCCAGCAGCGCCAACTCTGACGCCGTTGAGGCACGCGCTGAGAAGAGCGCCGCTAGCCCGGGCACCAACGAGCAGCAGGGATCGGAGCAGTCGCCTCAAGGGACGCTGCAGAAGGTGTTCAGCAAGGGCGTGAGGGGAGCGGTAAGCTAGATACCTTTCTGTAGAGTGGAGTCATTTTTTTTTTCGGTGCTCACGGCTCTGGGAAGGACAACGGAGATTCAGACAAATGTGTTGGACGCACTTGTTGGTGGTCGTAACCAGATGAGTCTCGAGGTAGGTGAGTCGTCCGTTGGAATGTACGCCTTCACGAGGATGAAAGGCTTTTTCTTTCTGGAGCCCTGACCTCGAGTTGGAGAAAGAGGATTTTTCACGTCTTTTCCACTTGCGGCATGCGATACATCTGGAACGCTTGAAAATCCGACTATTTGTTTCAAGTGCAATCTTGGTTCAACTTCGAACATCCTGCGATGCGAGCAGTGGTTCCATAGGCCAATTGAAGGCACTTATTGGATTCGTCCTGCCCCTGCTGTAAAATAAGGAATTGCGACTTCGCTTTCAAACCGAGTCACTTGTTAAATCAGCGACGCCGGACTCTACTCTGGGTTCTCCTTCGTCGAATGCTCGTCGAGCGATCCCGCGAACATTCGCAGCTTGGATAGAATAGTCGACGAAACGTTGTCCTGTACAGACGTTGCGGTTGCTTCCTTGATTTGGGTTAGGACAGTTGACGAATCCTTGACCCGGTACAGACTATCCGGTTTCTTTCCCAATCTGGATTAGTATAATCGACGAAAGTTCTGTCTTGTACCGTGATTCCGGTTGCATCCCCGAACTGAATCAAAACAGTCGACGAAACTTCGACCTGTACTGATTTTCTGGTTGTTCTCCCAAATTGGGTTACATGATCGACATTGCTTCTGACCTTACTGACTTTCCGGTTGCTTTCCCTGATCAGGTCGGACAGGTTCCTGACGGCGAGGATAAAACCGGGGAGGTATCCCGGGAGGGCCGCCGGGAAGTCGCGAAGGCCGGCCAAGCCGACACGTACGTCCAGGGTCCCCAACTAGCGGACAGGATCAAGGACGCCTTTACCTCCAAGACTGAGGAGGGCAAGACCGCCGCAGGAGACGCCGTTGAGAAGGCCGCCAGGGCAACCGGCGTGTCAACAAGCGCACCCGAGTTGAACCCGACCGCGACGGTGGCTGGTAAGTTAACTGACGGTGGCGGCGACAAGTTGAGGAGTAGATCCAAATTTGTGAACTTTTAGGGTATTACAGATCTGTTTGGAGAATCTGAAAGTGATGAAACTGTTTGTCTCTACTTGGACTACCGGAGAGGACACTTTTGTCTCTACTTGGACTACCGGAGAGGACACTGTTACAAATCAAAGCGCCGGAGTCCCGATTAAAAGCTTGGGAGTCCAGACGGAGAGGTGATAGTAACTTGCTGTATTGTTGACGTGGAGACGAGGTGCATACGTTGTCGACGAACGAAGTCTCTGCTGATGTTTCGATACGAACACAACTTAGAAAGGCGTTTTTTTCATCCTTTCAGGCCTTCCCGATTTCGGCGGGAAGGTTGGGGATGCCAAGGATGCCGCCACGTCAGCAGTGGGCGACGCCAAGGGTGCCGTGAAAAACTCGGTGACCAGCGTCAAGGTAAATCTCACTTTGCCGGCTTGTAGTAATCTGACGCGCACTCGGGTCTTCCCTGAAGGGATTATCTAACGTCCCGCGATTTTCTTGCTGCACACTTTTGAGGGCAGGGACGGATGAGTTTTGCAACTTATCCCCCTACAAAATAAGGGAGTATTATAGTGTCCACGTTGTTCGCACTTGTGATTCGCCAGCCCCCCTGTAAACGAATGTGAACACTGCGTCTGGATTGGAGTTTGCGATCATTTCTGGGGGCGGCCGGGGCAATCAGTGACGAGTCGCCTTTCACGCTTTAATAGAGATCGGGTTTCAATCACGCTCTTTGCTTGCTACAGGACGCCATTCCCAACTCCATCCCTAACCCCGCCGCCGATGCCAACAGCCAAGTGAGCAAAGTGAAAAGCTTCGCCGACTCCCAAATCAGCGACTTCAAGGATGACGTTGCTAAGATCCGTGCTGAGAACAAGGAACGTGTTGGCTTCCCTGACGCGCCGAGCCTCGCCCAAAAGACCGACAACGCCAGCGGCAAAGGCACTGCGGCCGATTACTCTTATTAGATCATAATACCTAGACCGATTGATAGGAACATTTTGGGTTGAGAATTTTGGGTTGTGTGTCGAAGAGTTTTGGATTTGGTTGAAATTGTTGGCGCTCTTGCTTTTGATTAACAGCCGTGTCAAAAGAAGCTGCAGTCATGCGGCTGCAGAGACTAGAATGTGTATCAGTAGGAACAGGATAGTCTCAGCTGTCGAAACGAAGAATCGACAGCGAATTGTAATTGTGACACGAAGATTGTAAAGCTCCGCATGGGAGTAGTGCCGCCTCGTCTCCATCTTTTGATCGTCTCATGTAAACCTGGATTTAACAATGCCAAGTATTGACTAACTGATATTTGAAAGATTCATGAAACGCGGGTGTGTGTACCCCGTCATGTAAGTGCTTATGCCAAATCAAGTAAAATCGATGAAAATCATGCATAATGAAATGAGGAAATAAATTTGAGGTGTGGGAAACTATATAATGACACTCGCATTTGTAACCTCTGATAATACTAATGACGTCGATGACATAAAGTGTACCCAAGGTCACGTAAGATGAATTCCAAGCCATTCAACTGTATGGCTGTGCATGAGATAAATGTGTTTCTTTTGATTCAAAACGTAGTACGCATTCGAGCCGCCGCAAATTGCACTGTCATGGACATTTTCGGCAGACAACTAAATGTTCCAATCACAACTCTGACGTAGAATACCTATGTGTGCAAAAATTTAATGTTGAAATTTCCATGCGCCGTGCAGTGATATGTGCATGGTGATTGTAACAAATCAAGGCATTATGGCATGGCATTTTGAGCTACTAGCTGGACATTTGCATGTAGCCAAGTTTTGATCGACTGTGTGAAGCGACGGTGTTTGCGTCGAGTTTGTTATACCAGATGTGCACGCTGCAGACCCTCTCCCTCAGAAGCAAAAGCATGTGACCATGGGTTTCGGGCCTCCTCGGATGATTGCAGAAAAGCTGCATGCAGGAAATAGAGCAGAACGACCCGCAGCTTGCGTATCATATTGAGTCATGATCTGAAATATGCTTGGACTAGATTTAAAGGTCTTCTGTTACTTTCTACACGGCACGTCAATTCCCTGGCTAACACCGTCTCCTTACGTTCAATCCCACGTCTCGACATCGTAGCTAAGCCGCGCGCTATAGTGCGGGGCCCCCGTGTCAACATCCTCATATTTCCATTGGGTCCGCTGTTTCCTAAGTACTCCCCAACCTCATGCGCGCCACCAGCTGCCGATCCTGGTGCCCCCGCAAGTGCGCTTGGATGCGCGTCGCGGCCGCGGCGCCGACTTCCGGGTCCACGTCAGCCCAAGCGGGGCGGCGTGGCGTCCCGTGGGGCGGCCGCTTCGCGCGCGCTTTCGCGGGCGCGTGTCCCGCCTCGTGGTCGGCTGCTCCGTCCGCCGATCCGTTTCCGGCGTCCGCGGTATCCTCCGTTCCGTACCCGGCGCCCGCGGACTCCTCTTCATCCGAGTACGAACCTGAGGAAAAACGAGGCCATCCTTGAGAATGGTTAAAACAAATCTTAGCTGCGTAGTATTTGATGCAACGGGTCGGCCCGTCATGTCCAATCAGCTGAGATTTCAAGGAGTTGATTGGTAGATGCAAGGTAGCGAAGTAACTAGCTTAGCGCGTAGGAGAAGAAGGCGTTCAGGGTCTTTGTCTGGAACGACGGCGCGATTCCAAGCACCAGTACAAATGTTGCAAGAGACTTCGAAAGAAGCGTTGGAGACCCAATGTTAGACGTCAACCTGGCAACACCATGAATGAGCCGAGAGTATCACATCTGAGGCGGAGCAAGTTGCATTCTGGAGCATCTTTTCCGTTGGTTCCCGTATGGTTCTTGGATCAAACAAACTGTCCTGATTCTCACCTGCCGAAGACTCGCCTTCCGATTCCGTTCCTTCCGTTTCTGATCCGGTGTCGCTTCCTGAACCAGACTCCTCCCCGTACTCGTCACTCTCTTGCTGCTCAAAAGCCGCCTCTCCCTCCGCCCTTGTTTCGTTCCGTTCCGCTGTCCTTCCGCCTTCCTCTTCCGTCGGTTTGGCTTCACCTCCCATGTCTGTCGCGGCTTTCCCTTCATCCGCAGCGCCTCGTCCGACTTCAGAGTAACCCGTGTCGGCCCACTTTACAAAGGAGCTTTTCCGGTCTTGGCGCACGGAACCAGCGGAACGGCCGTCACCCTTCCTGCCGTCTGCCTTCACCTTCTTTTTGAATTTGCTCTTAGCGCCATGCATCCTGCCTCTCTGCGGGACCATCTCTCCGCCGTCCCTCCCCTTCTCTGGTGACGCAAGCATGTCGTCAGCATCCTCTCGATGGCTTCCGTCTCCTCCTTCTGAACGGAAAGAATCATTCCCAAGAGTTGCTCCGCTAGTCCTTCTGACGTCACTGGTTCTCCCAATGCCGTCACCTTGCGTTGGGCCTCCTTCGCCCAGATCTGAGTTCGTATGTGTATCCTCTCCCTCATTCGCTTGGAGCTTATGTCCGTTCTCTCGGTGCTTATGGCCGTGCTCGCCGTGCTTATGCATGTCTTCTCCGCGCTTATGGCGGTGTCCTCCATCCTTGTGACCGTGGCCATGGGCTTCCTCGCCTTCTCTAGATCCATCTTCTTCCCGCTTATGAGAAGCTTCGCCGTGCTTATGACCATGCTTCCTGTGCTTATGCCCGTGCTCCCTGTGCTTATGGCCGCCGCTTCCGTGCTTATGGTGCCCGTGCTTCTTCGAACCTGCCCCGCCGTCCGCCAAGTGCTCTTTCTCTTCGTCGAGGGGGGTCTCGTCCGGCGGCAATTCTGGCCCCCGGAGCATACGCTCGCGGGCTTCTTGCTCCTCTCTCAGAATGCGCGCCTGGTTCTCAACTGGGGAGCAGGAAGAAAGAAACGATGTCAGCAGACTCTTCTCGGTATCAGATAGAGCGAGAGGCTTGAGATTGCAAAGTATGGGCGGATTTGCTTGTGCAGGGTCTGTTGCGCTTCAGAGCCAGTCCAATTCCCTGAAAAGCTGCTCTTCAGCCCGCCGAGCTGCCAGAAGTACAAACCATCGTTGGACGGGGGCTTTATTCATGACTGTTCATAGTTTTTTTGAGAGTCGGCTTTCCATTTATATGCATTTGTTTTTCAGCCTGTGAAATCTAATTGCCTGTACGATTACGGAGGAATTTCAGCGGCTTGACATACTTGACGCTGCCTGATAACCACTCCAAGATCCGCTGACTGCCGAGTCGCCCGCCGGTAAATGGTAAACCAAACTTCAAGCGACGATCGGTAAATGGTAAACCAAACTTCAAGCGACGATTGGGGTCTGGAATAATCACCCTAGTTACAGGCTCCGATCATTTCTTCCGCAGCCGAGTGGGCTCCTTACCATGCGCCGCCTCAATCTCCCGCAACTTCGCGCGCCTTTGGGCGACGTCTTCAACGGTCAGAACACTCATCATGTCGCCCAGAACCGCCCCAAGCATCTCGTCTTTGATCGCCTCCAGAGTGACTGAGGGCCCCGGTACAACTATCCCGGTCGGCAGACCCGCCTCTGACGTCACCGGCGAGGGATCCCCCACCGGTTGGGCGGCCGCCTGCAGCTCGGTAACAAGGGTTTGGAGCCGCGCGCGCGTCTCGAACATCGCGGCCTGCGCGGCACGGCCGCGGATGAGGCTCTGGAGGAAGATGATCGCGCGGCGCCTGGAGGAAGAACGGAGCGGGTTAAGGCTCTCGAGATGCAATGTCTGAGGAGCCGAGAGCATTTTATAGTGCGCAAAGGACACGGCTGGAGAAGTAGATTCGGACGTCTGCAAAACGCTCGAAATCAAGAATGAAACGGTTCAAGGAGAAAGAAGCCTCTTTCGTGTCTGGACGCCTATCTGAAGGCTTTCAAAAGAACTGGCTCTTGAGAAGACCTTGGGGGATGACTCAACTCGACTACTCACAATTGTGCGCTACCTCTCAGAGGGTTGCGGTCAGCTTCAGAAGACCCTGAAACAGCGATCCCACTGGTAACGGTGCTTCGTCAACACTCAAGGCAAGTTTCGCCAAACCCTAAAACCCTCGCTCACCTCTTCCTGCGCGCGCGCTGCTCCTCGTTCTCGACGGGCGGCGCGACGCGGCCGGTGGGCTTCTTGCGCAGCCGCAGCGAGGGAGCGCGCGCGCGCGTCTTGGCGAGCCGCGCCGCCTCCTCGTTGGCGTCCAACGGGCACGGCCACGCGTCGCCCATCCCGCGCGTCCCGTTCGACTGCGCGAAGAAAGGAGCCGTTGATCAAGTTTTCTGATGAGGTTGCTCATGGCCTTGTCGGAAAGGATGAGGTGCATCTATGACAGACTCTGCAGTTGCTGCCATTCGTTGTCCTTTGGGTTCCAGTGATACGGACTTCGTTTAGAAAGCAGTTGGCGGTCTCTTCTTGGCCCGCCACGTACTTCCACTTCGTCTCATGAACGAGTCTTTCAGCTCAGGCGTGGCGGCCGCATCCCGAGAGAGGGGTCACGCTGGCGAGTGTTGTTCAGAATGGGGTACAACGAAACCAGAAAGGGCAGCTTATGTATGGAATGGTTTCATTGCGGTTGCCTAGCTTACGAATCTTCTCGAGGATCGAAGCAGTTACGGATTCGGGAGACCGTGCGCTTAAGGCCCGTCAAAAAAGATGGACGACGCCAGGAGCTCGATAACATTCAGTCCAGACTTGTCATTGGAGGCACGATTTTCAAACAATGTGGAAGATCCATTGCAATTTAACAAGTTGTATCTTCTGTTTTACACGTCAGAAGAAAGGGGCTCGAACTAGACAAAGGAGCAGAAGCTCAAGTTTGCATCGGAAACTTTTCGCTGTGAGTCCTTCACTCTCCAAAAAAGGATATGAAGCGTCCTCTTTCGCAGAACTTTATGAAAGTTCGGATGGACTGAACTCTCATGCCCTCAAGAAGCGGACGTGATGGCAGGGGATGCTGGCTCCTAAGAGGGAAAACAAAACAGCAAGAAACAGAGCGCGCGCGCGCACCATGGTCTTGGACGTCTGCAGCAGGTTGTCGATGTGCTTCAGCTGCGCGCGCGTGGTCGACTGCTCGCGCGCGTCCACCAGGCTCAGCTTCTTCGTGGACGCGTTGGGTGACGTGACCCGCGGGAGGGTCTTCCGGGACAGGCTACGCTCCAGGTGCGCCACGCCTGCGCGCGATTGGCCGTCGGTGACGTCAGCATGACGTCGGATGGACTTCGCTTTAGTGCAGAAACGAATGGTCAATATAGGCCCCCGAAATGGTTGAAAGAGACTTTAGAAGGAATCATGCTCTGAAAAGGAGGGCCTGTTGTATAATTGTTCCCTGCGAATGGCTCACCACCTCCTGAAATCTTGCTTTCCACTATCTTTTCTGCAACATGTCGAGTCTCATGTACGAAGACAAAAAACTTTATAAGACGCAAGTTCTGTTGCTTTCTCTAGACACCCGTCCTCTCAAAGTAGCCACTTGCCCTCCAAGACTCACTACCTTGATTTTTCAAACAGAAAGAAGGCTCTTTTCGATTGCTTCGTCCAATTTACGCACCTGGCAGCGACGCCGGCTCGACGACCGCGGAGTTAATCTCGAGGCCTTTACCGGTCAGGGCCGCGCCCGCGCGCGTGATGGGCGCGTACACGCGCGAGCCGTAGTCCGCGTACTCCTCGATGATGTCACGCTTCGTGAGGCTCTGCACATGAGAAGCGAGAAGCAGGCTTTTGATCAAGAAGATGACCTGGTAAGGGTCGTGACGAGGATGGGTATCGTTGCCACTCTACCCTCTTAGCGATGTCGCGCTTTGTGAGGCTCTGCGGTTCCGAAAGGAGAAAGGAGCTTTGGGATCACGACATAAATCGCTTTGGGCTCGACGAGTGTTACTGAATAGTACGCTGAGAGATTTGCTGCTCTATTCCTTACGATTTCCCGGTTCGTGAGGCTCTGCAAAGTCGAAAGGAGAAGCAAGCTTAACATCGTAGTCCGACCTGCTAAGGGGCGTGTTCGAGAAGCTTATCAAAATGAGGGCTAATCTCGTTGCAGCTCTACTCTCCAAACAATGTCACATTTAGTGAGACTCTGCCGACAAGAGGAGAGAAGCAAGCTTAGGATGACGACACGACCTGCTAAGGGTGGTGGTTGGAAGCATTTTTCTCTCGAGAAAAAGCATATACTTTCTGTTGCTCTTTGTCTGCCCAAGTTTCTGACAATGTCGGGAGCATTCTCCGATGAATTTCGTGTTTCTTCACGCTCCCGACCCGCTCGACTGCTTCGCCGCATTCTTGCGCCTTGCGTCTTTCATTTTTGAAGGGCACGTTGTTATCGATTGAATAACAACCATCTCGTGGGAATAGCAACCACCCCGCTTGCTTCTGAGTCTCCGAGTTGGCGGAAATTTCAGCTTGATATCCAGATTACTTGAAATTTTCATCGCTCTCCTCATACCTTCTCGCCTTGCGTGCGGGCTTGCGTCAGCTTCCTCATTGTCTGGATGCGCTTCTTCTGGATCCCCGCCAGCGCCTTGCTCCGCTCGGCGTCCTTGGTCGCCTTCAGCCCCTCCATCTTGCGCCGAATCTCCTGCTCGCGCGCCGCCTCGCGCTGCTCGATCGCGGCGACCATGGACGCCAACCGGTCCTCCTGCGCCCTGCAAAAGAAGAAAAGAATCAAGTTCATGCACCCCGACTGTTCGCGCCGTAAACCCTAGGACTCCTCCGCTTCCGTTCCGTCCCTCGACTCGCCGGCGCCGGACGGCTCCGTTTCTCAGGCGCTTCATCGTCATTTTCGCAAGCGGTCCTCCTGAGCCCTGCCAAGGCAAGGCATGGACGTTCGTGCATTTACATTCTCAGCGGTCTTAACGCCTGGTGTCAAAGCATCGCTGTAAATGCACGATTCTCCTCCCGACTCAGCTTGTTTCAAACCCAGAGAAGCCAGACGGTCCTCCTGAGCCCTGCGAAGGTAAAACAATGACGTTCTTGCATTTACATCATTAGCTATCTTGACGCCTGACGTCAAGTATCTTTGTAATGCACGATCTTCCTTATGACTCTGCTTGTTACGGAACAGAGAATGTCGAAAGGGAGATGCACGTGCTTTTCAATACTCTGTACAGCCATCCGTTCCTTGTGAGAGCTTACGTTTCCGAGCAATTCTGCGGCTTCTTCCAAAAGACGTAATTTCAAAATTGCAAATCTCGAAAAGACTGACGGACACAATCTTGCGGGCAAACAGATTTTTCAGAACACAACACTTCTTGCTGTCAGCGTCAAATATGCAGTCGTAAAACCTTTCCGGCGGCCAAGCGGAAAGCGGAAAAAGAATCGAGGGCTTTGATCAGTATAAGAATCGCTTGAGCCGGACTTAATGCGCTTTTTAGCTCACTGTGCGATGCCGGCCTCCCTGTCGGCCCACTCCTGGCGCTCCCAGGCCTCCATCATCCGCTTCCGTACCGCCAGCTCCTGTTCCGTTCCGGAGAGCGGCGGAAGGGTCGCCTCGAACTCGCGCTTGAGCCGCATCTTGTCGACCAGGGCCACGGCGGCCGCGCCAGCCGGAAGGCCGGAGCCTGAGCGGAAAGCCAACATCTTTGAGACACCACCAGATTCGTTTTAGCGCTTTGAGACAACCGATTGGCCGCGTAAGAGAATTGCAGTCAAAGGAACCCTCTTCTCAAGGTGAAAGACGTTTTTAAGCGCTTGCGATTTTAACAGGAGACACGAACCTGTCAAAAAACGATTTTGAGAGACAGCCGCGAGTTGCCGCACAAATCGGGCTCACTGTTCGTGGCTGTGTCACGAAGAACAACAGACTGAAAAGCGCCAAGCTATTCCGCGCAAAGCTCATGGTGACCTCACCATACGTCAGCTCCCGCAGCGCGAGGATCTCCGGCTCCGGCGCGCCCTCCGGGATGACGTAATCCGGAGTGTACGGCACGGTTTGCGCCTCGCTCTCCCGGTAGTCGCTCTGCGTCCCGACCGTGACCGAATGCGGCCCCGCGGCCAAGCCCGCGGCGCGCGACGCGGCGCGCGACTTGGGGGAGGGGCTCCGCGCGGGGGTGGCGAACTTGACGGTGCTGAGCGCCCTGCAAGAACCCGACTTTGCTTGGTTTGGTTTAGGGTTTCAAAAGTCAGGGGAAGATATCTCGGTTAAGCACTCAACGTGGAACTTGGGGGGGGGTCTCTGCGCGGGGATGGCGAACCTGACGGTGCTGAGCGCCCTGCAAGATTCCAGGTTTCTAAGTTTAGCGCTTCAGGACAAGGGTATAAATTTCAGCGCTTCAGGACTGAGTTTCTTGTTTTATCGTATTGATCACGAGGGCCTCCGCGCGGGGGTGGCGCACTTGACGGTGCTGAGCGCCCTACAAAACAATCAGGTTGTAGGTTTAGCGCATCATAAAAAGATTGGCAAGTTATGCCCTTCAGGACTGAAGGTTATATTTTATGGTGTTGATCAGGAGCTTAAGGGAATGGTAGTTCTATTGCTGCCGGAGGCGGTTCAAATCGGAGATGAGGCTGCACCAAGATCCCGCAGACCTGGTGGTGTACAACTTGGGAGGTGTCGCAAATCCGCACACGTTGAAAAGGAAAGCATGGCGTTTTGATCGTCGTGAGCAAACTGCTGGATCTCGTTATGGACCCATCGGCTCGAACGTTGCATAATAGGCTCTGCAAACCACACTGAGTGAGCAGACCACTCGAGTGTTCCAAAATCCGACTTTTCGACATGCGAACGATTCCCAAAAAGAGGGCCACAGGGGTTGCAAAGCTGAAACACTCTGGACGTCGCCTGGACTCGACAACCGCCTCACCTCAGAAGCCTAGCCTGGCTCGAACGCGATGAAACTTGGAAAGTCGTGGCTGCGCCTTAGTCTTATGTCGGCTTCTTTGCTGCAGAATCTGTTTGAGCTTTTTGCTGACGTCAAATGGAGCGCTGAGAGAGGAAACTGCGCTGTTTCGACGCTTCTTTCTCACCTGTTCTCAGCCACGTCATCCTTGGAAAGCAGGGGCTGGTGCAGAAACTTCACCAGGTTGGCCCCGCTGACCTGCACCCAGGAAAACGTTCTTTTAGATTTCCATGACCTTTTATTGTTCCGGTAGCGTAAAAGCTATCCCCGCAGGAAACAGGCTCTTCGCTAGTGGGGCTCGCACTCCCCGCTTCGGTCCGTTCCCTTTCGGGGAGCGGCTCTTCGGCGATTCTAGCACTTCTTGTCTCGCCTGATGTAGCATCCCCGACTCGCTTGCGACTCATTTGAGGGTTTGAAGTTGACGCGTCTCGCTGGATGCTTCCGTTACAATGGATGTGGTTCCGTTACAATGGATGTGGTTCCGTTACAAAGAGAAGCTCCCTTCTTCAGAAAGCCTTGTTCGTTGTAGACCCTCCTGACATTTACTCAAGCTCTACCCCTCTGAGCCTTTCGCCTCGTCATCATTTCAACTGGTCAGACTGTTGGCGCAATTTCTCTGGTTGCTTGCTGTGACCATGACTATTTCGAAAGGCAACAACACTCCACTCCCGTCGAATCCTTCTTTTCCGTCTCATCGTGCAAACTTCACCGCTACCGTCACGACAATGAGCTGCGTTACTCCGCGCCATTGCACCACTTGAGCCACTGTGCACCCTCGGAGGTGTACACTCATCTCGCGTCCTATACTGTATCCCAGCACTCAACCGAGTCCTACAAATCCTTAGACACAACCCACAACATGATTCCTGAACCTGCAAACCATCTGCGATGCTTTTTCATTGATGAGGGCTCACATTCCCGCTGGTCGAGCGCCCCTGCAATTCGTGCGGGGCCGGCTGGTCGGGGCGGAAGTCCCGAGGGACAAACGGCGGAACGTCGTTGGCTGCTTTCAGCCGGAGGCTCTGGGCCGGGAACGTCGGGACCTCCGAGAAGAAGTTGGGGAAGTTGGGGACCTTCTCCTGCAGAGGGGTGGGAGAATGAAAGGGGTCTATCGGTTGGTATATAATCAAGCGACACCAGTGCTTTGAAACTGCAGATTTGGGAAGTCGATGTTCCAAGAGAAAGGTCGAAAGTAGAAGTCCAAGATCCAGCAGCGGAGTGTGGTGAAGTGTATGCGTCTAGTTTCCCTTGTGTGGTCAAGCAAGTCAGTACGTCAAAAGGTGGAAGATTAGGAAGACATCGCTTCAAAGGTGGTAAGACGAAAGTCAAAGTGTGGGAACCGACAATACTCTTCAAATTTGATGCAACGCACGGGCCACCGGAGGAGGCGGTGGGAGGCAGCTTTTTGACGAGATGGTTTTGCTGACGTTGTCTGCGGTCGTTTAATCTCGATCTGGCCGCTTGCAGACAAGCTGCCAGCGGCATGACTGGCAAGCAACGTTGTCTCCCTTCCATCGAAGTTGGCGAAGTAGTGGTGCTGCCAACCCTGACCTATCCAGACTTCATACTTCGAGAGCAAAATTCAGAACTCCCTGCCCTAGAATGTTTGACAATCTTAAAGGGCAGGCAGCTCTATAACGCCCAAAACAAATTCGATTTGTCAAGGGTCCGACTGCTGCCGGTTGCTGGAGCAGGAGCGCTCCTAGTGGCCCTGTCTCCGGAAACGAAGTTGGAGTGTCAAAAGACGGTTGCAACATACGAAAGCTCTCACTGGCTGCAGGCAGATTGGCTTCTGCACTCAGGCTGGACGTTGAAACGTGCTCGCGAGCGGCAAGGTGACATCAGCAGCCCCATCGCCGCATGTTCTACTGCCCCATAATGCCAACTTAAAAGCATTGAATCAACAGCTTCCGATGGCTCCAGCAATAAAACGCAGAGAATGAAACCAGGCCCTGAATATCACATTGCGCACGGGCGCTATGTACTTACCAGAGTGTAGCCTGCACTCTGCGCCTGCTGCCGATAGTGGTCCCGAGCCCCAGAGACCGTGTAGAGAGGGTCTGCGGAATGGAAAAGCTCGGAATCGTCGAGTTTGCTGATTCTGAGCAAAGCGCTGACATGAAAGAGACAGACGCTCTCAATCTAGCCTTGCTGAGCTGCCATTATGAACCTGCATAGTTGCAGCTGATTGAGTGCAAGACTCCTCAAATAATGCTGTTGTCAAGATACAATTATCGTTGTCTTTAGGTGACAAGCCCTCCTGCTTGCATTGCGCGAACGGGACACGAAAAGATGTTTTGAGGAGTTTTCGTGAAAGAAGAATTGGGATGGCTACCCAATCAAACCATGTGAAAAGTATCCCAAGGACTTTAAAGAGAAAGTGCTCTTACCGTAGAGAACATCATAGGCCCTCCCCTCAGCTGGCCCCCGGTTGCCCCCCATTTTGAGCTGCAAGGCACCGCTCCCTCTGAGGCAATGCTTGCTTTCCCACTCTAAATGTGTGGCTACCTTATCAAAAACACACTCTTTCGTGTTCAGTTGTGAGCATCCGTGCAAGTTGTGGGTTCGTGAAGAAGTTGTTGTCGCAAGTTGCATATGCCAACTTGATACTCAGAAGTGACTCCTGTGCGCGCTGTTCGTGGGGATAGGAAGGTAGAGCTGTGGGCCACAGTTCTTCTTCTGAGAGCTGCCCAGAACGTCTCGGACGTTTTGCAGCTCCTACTCTTTAGAGGATGCCCGAATGCCCACAAGTTGGGTAGCGGGCAGCTAACCCGAGCAATCGAGTTTCATTGCTCAGCGCTCAAAACCACTTGCCGTGTCTCCTTCTGAAACGTACTGCTCAGCAAGCTTCAAGGAGCTCGTAAATCTGCTCATTGCAACTCAAGAAAACCACCCGAAGCGTGCAGTCACCTTCACAGCCCCTACACAGCTACATAGTACAAAGAGCTTCATCTTGAAATTTCAACTTCAATCCTGATCTGATTGATGGGCCTTGGCTTTGCTGGTAAGCGAGGAGCAATGCTTTGAATGAAATGAAGTGCATAAAAGTTGTCTGGAAAATACCTAGCTGGCGAGGCCTGCTGAGAGTGTACAAGCTGTAGGTAGTACCTAGATATGAACAAGTACAGTGTCGGTACCTAGAGGCTAGGAGGCAGCAGCACGCTACACAAAGGCAACTGCATCAGGTCAGCAATTGTGCGCGAGCAAAAATACAGCCCTCAATCGTGCAACATTTGCCGGATCGTACGGTTCAAGTCTTGCATTGCAGCTCAGCGGCTGCGGTCACTGGACCTGAGGCCCGCGGCCGCGCGCCCCGCGCGGCTGAGTCGTCGGATGGCCACTGAGCAGCTGCGCGTTTCCCCACAGCCAGCAGCTGCGCACTCAAGTGCGCGCCCTGGAACTACCGTACATGCCGTAAAGAAACCTGGGTCAAGGAACGGATCATGTGTGCATGCCGGCAGCTCATTGCAGTTACGCGTGTGATAGACGCTGGGGCCTGCGCTTGAGGACAACTTTTGGCCAAGTAATAAAGAGTCGCAGACTCAAAGCTTGATCTGAGTATATATTGTCGCCCGGCCATATCCTTGACATCGTTCATGCTGATCCACTATGACTGATTCAATTCTGGATTGGATGTAGGTCCGGCAGACTGCATAATCAGCTGCCAGGTCATACAGATGCACGCCTGCATGTTGAAGAAATTTCCTGCCCAGGTGGCAATGATCCAAGTGTTGCGAACATCGTAACGGATCTCACATAAAACAATCTAGAAAACCTTTCCGCCAAAAGAATATCACCCTGGGATTCAGTGGTTGCGTTTCCCACAACCATCGATTTATATATATATATGGAAAAAGCACATCGGACAAACACAGCACGTTAATCACAATGTTTCTGCTGTGTCACATAGGAGAATGAGACACCAAATCTTTTTAGAATGCCTGATCAGACTGTGGTCGCAGATTCAGTGCTCGAAGAACAACAGTGATCCGTCAAGTAGGATCGTCCTACCGGCCTTCTGCCGTTTGTCTCTCGGCACGGTCCCAACGAACGGCCGTCCTCGTCACCTTTCGCATCCGTACTGCACGAACGAAAGGCTACAGTCAGATACATGCTGCAGTTGACAAAATAGAGAGTAATGTGTCTTGATCAACGGTGATTCAAGACCTTGATCACGTGCACTGCAAGATTGTACTACCGAAACTTACGGAATGCATACGACAGAAAGGATGAGGTGGCAAAAGATCGACCCTGGACCGTAAGCCCACCCGGCCTGCGAAAAATAGGACAACTCCATTCGGCAGAGGAAGCTTAATTATACTCACGTCAAGTTTGATCAGACAAATCCTTCTGTGCAGGCGCTGATAAGGCCCTGGTGTAAAGAAACCCTTCAAAACCACTTGTCATTCTAATCCCAGCCCGCTGTCCAATCGAAACAGCCGAACTACACCTCAATTCCACCTGAGTGCAGCGCAGGACCCAAGGCTACTCCTCAAAACGCCCCTGCTGAGGTCATGTACATCTAAATGCACCCGGAACTTACAGGCTCCCACTGTGCCGGGAATCACAGGCTGACCAACAACCCAGAAGCTCCAGGAAAAGGAGATTCAATCACCAAAAAATGTAAAGGAAAAAAACAACATCACAGGCGAAAAAGAAAACGGAAGACCCAGGTTATGATAAGCCAGCACGTGCCTGAAGAAGGGCGGCGTGCAGGGGGGTGCTCAGCGCCGCTTGGACCTGCCCCCGGAACTCCGTTCTTTTCTTCTGCAGCCCGCTCGCGGCCTCCTCCAAGTGAGCCTGGTTGTTTTCAAGTCGGGCAATGTCTGTAGCCCGGAAATGGAGATAAGATCAGCTATTTGACAAGAGCATGCGTAAAGTAGCGGCCGAGGGGCCAACGCCGATAATCCGCTTTCGCAGATTGGATACTTGCCAGCAAGCTCTACACAACAAAATGGCGAAGAGAACCGGCTGAGTGACTGCCGCCTAGCAACAGCACGACAGCCCAGGTTTTCCAATGCTCGTGGTTAGCTTGGCACATGTTCAGAGTTGTAATCAAGGTTTGCCATGAGGTTTGGGAATGTTGTTGCCGATCAGTACCTAGGAGATTCTCCCAGTCGGTCCTTCCTCCTTCTCTACCCGTCTATCCCGGGAGTCACGTTACCAAAGTCCCAGCGTAGTTTGTATCAAAAACCAACAGCAGTAGAGACTAGTTATTCTCTCTCTGCAATGAAACCCCGGTTCTTGAGCGAGCAGTACAGAACGAGACGAGTCGGCCGAATCTAACGCGGTGAACACGACTCACTGGCCATCTCCTCAAGCGCGCTGATCTGCGTCAGCAGGTCGTGCTCCGACTTGGCGAGTGTGAACGCGCTCTTAAGGACGTCGCTCCCGGTTGGAAGGTCGTTCAGGGCCCTATTCACACTGCCCAGCATGGCCAAGAACTGCGATACCAGCTGGTGGTTGCCTAGCTGCTTGTGGGCTTGCTTTAGGCCGCGCCCGATCTGGAACCTGGGCGAGAGTAGAAGCACTGTCTTTTTCGCAATCTGTTCAAAAATGAGTGTCTCGAAGCGCTAATCTTCGGAAATTTCTTCCTTATAAAAGATTCGCAAGAAATCGAAGATCTGCTGCTCGTGCGCTTGCTTTAGGCCGCCCCCGATCTGAACCTGGGCGGGAGTC